AAACCAAAACAACAACAACCGCAGAATGATGAACCAAGGCAAGGGTACTCTGCACCCTTACTGCACACCCACTCATTACAATTAACTACTCCCTATTTTAATACACACACTCTTAAAAACCAAACAACAAAGTGGCGTCCGTAATCTAGTAAATTAAATGTAGTAAGGCTACCGAACCTGTAATCTTGAGATTGTGGGTTCGGGGTTTGAGGCTCAGCTTGGTCCGACGTAGTGTCCTTGAGGAAGGCACTTAACACGAATTTCCCATTTGGCTCTGTCCTTTTGGAGATTGACATTAACTTAAAGGTCCCGCCCTTTGAATAACCAGTGTATTGATAGGGGCGTTAAACCTATATAATGCCATCATCATTTCAACAAACAAAATACGTAATATAACAATAATGACTCTAATTGCAAGTTAAACTGATTTTGTCCAGCACTTCCTATACCTCTTTTGTACCCCACTTGTGTTCCTCAGTGCAGCCCTCGGCCGTTACTTGTAGGCTATAGCTGCAGGGTAACGGTTTTGACGCAAGACTCGGCTTAGGCTGAACTGTCACTATGTCGCTCTGTTTGAAAAATGGCGTACCTTCAGATACGACACTATGGGTTGTTGGCGGGTGCTCTGGTGTGCTCTTCGTTCCTATCAAACGTCTGTCGTCCCTATCTCTCCTCATTCTTTTTCGTGTTTGTTACTGTCTTGTAACACTTGTAACACTTCTAATCTGAGGGTGGTTGGTGGGTGCTCTGGTGTGGTTTGCTCCTTCTTTCCTGTCAAACACCTATCATCCTTATCTACCCTCCTTCTTTTTTATGTTTGTTACTCGCTTGTAACACCTCTTATCTTCTGGCGCTCATATGGCCTTATGCAGTTGCGAGCGCCGTAAAACCTCTACTAAAACAAAACCTCTAATCTTCGGATTTATATGACTTAATAATTGTTTTGCATTTGCCGTAAAACATTTACTAAAACCAAACTTTCCGTCGCCGCACTAAAAAAAATAATCCCACCTTACTAAAACATGACGCGCCCTAGGCTGTACTGTCACTTGTCGCTCTGTGTGAAAAAGTGGCATGCGTTCAGATACGATTATACTGATACTATTGTTGCCTGCCCCGCCTTTGGTACGAGCAGTTGGACATCCCTCCTCTTTTCCTGGCAACATCCGCTCGTTATCGCGGAACTGTCACTGATTCTCCGTAAACGACAACTCCAACCCAGCCTCTCATTGCATGGTCCCCACGGTTGCGTCGCCGCAAGAGAGGAGATCGGTTTGGTTTACCCTGAGGCGACATTTCATTTGGTTACGCACCGCTTTGGGGAAAAAGAAGGG